TTTGACTTGACCAACCTAAACCGGTTCGATTGAAAAATTGAACCGGGTTTAATTACTCAATCGGATTTAAACCGGCTAAACCGGTCTAAACCGAAAACCCTAATTTCGGAATGCGGAAGCCGCCGAGTCACCCGAGTCAACCCGGTGGTTGACTCACCCCGATTCTCCGACTCAGCCGCGACTCGGTGAGTCACGACCGATTTCGCCGGAAAATCGCCGGTTCTTCACCGGTTTTCACACCCAAACCCAAAATCGACACCAAGACAAGAACGACTAACCTGTGCGGACTCGTAACTCGACTGATTTACTCAGTCCGAGTTCGATCCGAACCTTGTCGTCCTTTTTCCCGTCGATCTGAGCTCCGCCGCTTGTGTGGCACCACCGATCTCGTCTGGAGACATCGCCTTATCGCCGTTTCTACCTCTGAAACACCTCGAAAACGCATTAGCACGCTCAGATCCAAAACAGGGAACCACAGACTTACCTCGACCGCAAGATCCGCCGTCGATTCCACCGAGCTTCGCCTCGACCAGGCTCTGATACCACTTGTAGTGGATTATCGACCGATCCCTCACCGTAACCTCTCCGATCTACACTCGTGTGAACAGAACGAAAGAACGCAAGAGACAACCGGGATACGAGTTCAGCAACCGAGATAAAATCTCGGTGCCTACGTCTCGGGAAGAGGAAGCCGCGTTTAGTAGCTAGGGTTACAACCGACCGGAACCACCGGACACCGCCGGAACGGCGCCGGAGACCACGAGCTATGCTCGCCGGACGAGAGAGAGTCTCTCCGCCGAAAAGACGAAGAACCGAAACCTAATCCGTTCGAATAAGAGAAACAAAATGAAACCTAGGGTTTCATTAAACAACCCCGAAAAAGACAGAAATGCCCCTCCGTCCAATTGAGATCCTCTGCTTCATCCGGAGGTTTCGAGAGCCTCCGCTTCCAGTAGCGGATTTGCTGAGAACCCCACAGTTTATAAAAAAAAATATGAGTTTTGGTCTCTTACTATACATATTACAGTGTTTGGCTTTTGACGAAATTTTGTATGTGTGTATCAGTGTATGTATACATGTAGAGAGTTATTTTGTAACGATTTGAGAACATTCCTTTGTGATTATTACTGATAAGTTTACGGTTAAATAAATAGGAGGGTTTTATAACCATTAATAACTAAATTTCACATTCTTGTAACAGCTCTCTTTCATCACTTCTAAAAATATAAAATTCCAAAACATTAAAACAAATCAAATTCTTGTTATATATTATTGGAAATTAACTAGCTATTCGAGTACTTATACATTCATACAATTGTTTTGAAACTTTTTGCACAATTTTTTTTTTCTAAAAAAAAGGAGAAACATATGCATGCTTATGAAATGTAGGAAGATTTACCTTACAGTATCCATAGTCATTACTGGAATTACATCATTAAACATATGCAAAACACCCAATAACATGGGCTGAGATTAAAAAAATAAATTAAAGTTTATATATTTTTCAAAATTCCTCCTCATATACCATATGAAGAAATTGAAAAAAAAAAATTCAAGACAGCAAGGCCAAAGTCTTCTTCCATAGTCTTAACAACACTCCCACACTAATATTAAAACATTAAAGATTACAAAAAAAATTGTTCTTTAGGGTTTTCAGACAAGATGCTTCACCATGTAAGGACCTTCAAGTTCATAACCTAACTTCCTGTAGTAGTGGCGAGTTCCTACACCCGAAATCACTGCGATTTTGCTCGATCGGTGTTCCCTCGACGCGATCCTCTCCGCTTCTTCCATCAGAAGCGTTCCATATCCCTTTCACGATCAAAATCAAACCCAATCAACGACCAACTAACGGATGATTTTTATTTCCTTTCTTTCGTTTCGGTAAAAAGCATATGCTAGGAAGTTGTTCAAACTCACCTGATGCTGCAACTTATCAGAATCTCGACCATGAACAGGCACAGCGGTTCCATACACGTGAAGTTCACGGACAATGGAACACTTCCCCACAAGTTCGGGACAAGTAACATTCTTCCCACACTTTCTCAAACGTAACAAACCGACGAGAATGTCCTGTCACCGACAAAAGGACAAAAGTATAATACTTTATCTACTAGTTCCATCCCCAAGACATGGAGTTCTGAATGAAGGGTATTTATCGATTACCTGGCGTGTGTCTTCATACGAAAGGAATGTTTCCCAACCTTCGTTGGCTGTGTAATCACGCCGCACAAGTTCTACTTCTTCTGGCTTGATTTTGTGGTGAATGTCCTGTAAAAATGGTAAGCGGGATAGAAAGATTTTAAAAGAATTCAGTCTCCAAACAAAACGGGACAAAACAGGGTAATGTATGTGTTTCTGACCTGAATTCCAGCCTCACGTGTTCGAACATCACGGCATTTCAGACCCAAATCGTCCATTCTAGCTAAGGCCAACTCGCGTAGGTTTCCTTTTTCGACCCCTGAAGTAACCAGCGGCATTGGAATATCACGCTGAACTCTATAAACACGTGTCCATGGAGGTACCATCGAAAGAATCCTTGCAACGATATCGACGAGCTGCTCCGGTGGGTAGTTTCTATACCTGCAGAATGCCACGACGTAGTTAGAGTTCCGCTCCCAACATGGATGCGCTCATGTAATTAAGACAAGAATGTCGTACCTTCCAGTTTTCCAGAGTTCGTAAAGTCCAGTTCCACGTATCACAAGAGTGGGATATATTTTTAGCCCATCGGCCCTAAAGGATGGGCTCTCGAAAAACTCCTTGAAACTTTCCATGTCTCTCTCAACCCCGACATTAGGAAGATCAGGCATCATGTGTGCAACCACCTACAGAAAAAACACATAATCAGATTATAGAAATTAGAGGATTGACACTCGCTACAACGAAAATCAAGGGCTATATCTTTTTAAAGAAATAAACAAAGGAAAAACTTTATCCACATTGAAGGCAAAAGCAGCTAACTAAGTGAGTTTATTACAAGGAGAAATGAATAACAAAAGAAAACTATAGGTTCACACCTTGAAACCGGCATCTTTAGCCAGGCAAAAGCAGTCAGCTACTGCAGCAACTGTGTGCCCTCTATTTGTGTCACGAGCGACATCTTCGTATGTGCTCTGGACGCCGATCTCGAGCCGTGTGCAACCATAAGACAACATTTGTCTTAGATGAGGTCCAAGACAGTAATCCGGCCTCCTGTTAAATTTTCAAGAACCCGAGAGAAAATGCTTATTCAGATTCGATAAATTCATCTTAAGGAAGGTAGGAGGATAAACTCTCAAGCAAGCTTCTATTTTGATGATCATGGATAAAGAAAATGGAGCTCAGAAAGCATTGTTCCTCCTCCCCGCTCCACATTTCATCAATTAATCAATTAACTTACGTTTCAATCGTCATGCCAATGCATTTAACCGCACTGTGTTCTGAGTAAGCAACGGCTTCTTCAACATTGGCAGATGTGTGTCCTGACAAAGCATCATGAAGATTCCTTGTGAAGTAATCTCTGTAATCAGCTGGCAGTGACATGAAAGTTCCTCCCATCAAAATGAACTCGACCTGGAAAACATACAATCGCCAGCAGTTGTCGGTACTAAAGAGAGAACCATGGAGAATAGCTGAAACTAAAAACAATTTTCGTTTGTAAATTGTTTTGAAGGAGAGATTCAAACTCAAACCTTATCTACACTGTGACCCAATCGCTTCAACTGATCTATCCTGCTCCTTGCCTGAACATACGGATTGTACCTATGATAAGAAACATGGGTTTAACTAAGCCTCACAAAACACAGGTTTCAAAACTATGGAGCATTACTTCAAATTCTTGCTCCATCTTCCTCAATCAAGAATTCATTAACACAAATCTGAGCTCCTCCCCCCCCCCCCAAAAAAAAGAGAGAGGTTTGGGAGAGTTCAATGGCCCTCGACGGCGAGTCTGGATCTGGAGAAGCTCCTCGATCTACGGTTGTGAGATCTTCCTCTCGGCCGCATCAAATCGCACAATGAACCAGAGAAGAAACTCAACAGATTTTCTCAGCGAATGCTCAGCAGGCATTTTGCGCGCATTTTATAGGGTGTCTGGCGTTTGCTAAAGCAACCTATTCCCCCCCCCCCCCCCCAAAAAAAAAGCCTGGAGAAAAAACAGAAGAAATTGTCACCTGGCCCTAATAGCACGCATGCTCGTAGGCTCGTAACCCGTGTAAGACTGCGTACTATACTCAAAATCCGAATCCGGACCACCGGGACAGTACACACAGATGTTTCCCGTGGTCGCGATGTGCGGACACCTATGAGGCTTCGACATGACCGCCACGACAGCGATCCCAGAAGCCGTTCGGACAGGCTTCGCCCGGAGTTTCGGGAGCAGAGCCTCTCGGTCGGAATCCGGCAAGGCCGCGATCATCTCGACGAGCTTCGGAGCCCGAGCGAGGCCGTACTTCCGACAAGCGGCGGATTTAAGGGCGTTGAGGTCGACATTCTCGTTGCGACGAGAGAGCTCGACCATGGAACTTACGATCTCAGATATGGCGCGAACTCGTGCTTCCTCCTCCGTCAATCCACGGCCCTGGAAGCCGCCGCGACCTGGCCGAGGGAGCTTCTTGGACTCGCCGTTCATCACAACCGCCGTCGCCATCGCCAGAGAAACCTCACGAGGGAATCAATTGACAAGCGCGTCGACGTAAAACGCAGTTTTATAAATGCCGCATAAAACGATGTCGTTTGCGCTACTAGTTAGGCATTTTATACAAATCAAAATTAAATCAAATCTTTTTTATAAGATAAAGAAACTAGCAGCCTGAAAAATGAATATGATCTGAACAAAAAAAAATATTTTTTTTTATTCAAAAGAGTTTTTTGCTTTCATTTTTAATTTGACTTTTTTGGATTTTTCATATTTTATGCGTTGCAAAATTCGATATGTCCATTTTCCTAACACAAATGCCAAACGATTATGAATTAAATATAAAATTTACAATTTTTTTTCCCTTGAAACAAAATTAAGCCGCGGGGGAAAAAGAATAAAGTATGCCTCAAGTATAACATACTGTATGATAGAGAGCAGTAAACTGTAAAAATATATAGCTAACCGCACAGAACAATAAAAGCGATTCGGATGAACGCAAAAAAATTTATTCCGCGACTGCGTTTTCAATCTCCTCCGCCGAGTAATAATCTTCTCAGCGAAATCCTTCTACCCGAAGATTTTCGCGTCCTATCCGAACCCGAAAAATGTCGGTTTTCGGGTGAAAGAAGAAGCGCTTCTTCCGCGATAGATTTCCATTGTTCAGCAGCCGAGTAGTTGAGCCCGAGGCCGACGCTGAGCCCTCTTAACAGATTTACCGTGCGGAGAACCGAGAATAGTTCCTCGGGGAATGCCTACCGTTGAACACGGGGCGGAAAATTTGTCAGCGGAAAGTTAACAAAGGAGAGTTAGAGACGCCAATGTCGCCTCCCGTCTGCTTACCTCGACCGAGATTCTTTTGAGGGAGGAGTCTTCCGAGAACGGTTGCAGAATTCGGACACCCGGAGGCATCTTCGTATCGAACATCGTCTGTGCTAACTTTAGAATCTCTTCTCGCTCGTTCTCGCACTTGCATAATGTACTTAATCCGAGTTCCCTGAGTATCCGCATCGTTAAAACGCTAAAGCAGTTGCAACGAAAAAAAAATAAACCCGAATTTCGAATATCCAACCGCTATATGAGAATGAGGTCGGGTAATAATGTTAAGAAAATCCAAAAATCGGGTTCAAATTGGGGAAATCGGGTATCGCCATGGTAGCCAAGTGATCAGTAAAATGACATTTTCCCCCTTAGGTTTTAAGAGAGTTATATACAAACCTACTGAAATTTCAGGTTCGGGTTCAGATAACCCAAAACTTTAGGATATCCGACCTGAATCAACTCCTACTATATGATATTATTTTTGAAAAATCTTATTTAAACCCGGGTTCGGTTACCTGACTAGAATGAAACCGAAATCGAGTAATATCTCAGAGACTTGAAACCAGGTCATAATAATCCAGGGTCCAAAGAAGTTTCCGTAGGCTAAAAAGCAGGTAACTTTATCAGTCACGAGAACGGATATGTGATCGGATGATACCCTTTTTTAACTAACTTCACGTGAATTCGAAGTATAGACACTCATTGCTTCTATCCCGACGACAAAAGGAATAATCTTGATGAAGTTCGAAGTATTACCGAAAGCTCTGAGAAGCTCGCACAGCGTCGTTATCAGCCATGGCGATGACAAGATTCGCATAACCAAGTCGTAGATTGTCGGGGAGATCCTTCACTTGCCCGTAGTCCAGCAGCGCAACCTGCTAAAAAGAGGAAAGAAACGGGATTTACACCCCGAGCGAAAAAGGATCGTCGGAAGCGAGAAATGGGTACCGTAACTTGCCTCTGAACCTTTACAAATCAAGATGTTTCCGGGATGTGGATCCGCATGAAAGAAACCACTTTTCAGTATCATTTCACCGTATGCTCGGGATAAACTTTTCAGTATATTGCTGTGAGGGCAAAAAGAAAAGGAAAATCCAAATGCGGGTTTGGGAAAAGTGAAGAAATTGACGGCGAAAAAAGCAAAAAAGAGAGCCTGTGGGCGACAAATATGAGGAGCTTACTGCTTTGCTCTCTCGGCAAGCTTACCACGAGGATTTATCCCTCTCTTAGCCATTTCATCGCCAAGACTTAAGATTGGGGTCCCGTTAATGTACTCCATTACCAATACCCTCCTGAAAATTAACAAATCGGGATTCGGAAAACTATATAGCTCTTGCCCTTTATTCCATATTTTATGTGGATGATCAACTAAAATGGTAGATAATTGATGGAAGAGTAAAAAAGAATCAAATACCTGGTCACCATATCTTGAATCACCCTGGGAACCAAAACAGGACTCTTTCTATTGTTCTTATACAGAAAACATCGAATTTTCTCCATTGCATTGGCTTCCTTCGTGAAATCGAATTCATACCCAATCTTGACGTAAGAAAAAGATGAAAAGAAATTCAAATCGTTTCGCAAATGAAAGCTATAACCAGATATTTGGCGGAGGGAGGAAGAACAAAGTGTACCTGTGTTTCCATTTCCTTTGTTAAGGAGTAAATGTCGAATTTGACATCTGTCTTTTGAATGCATAAGGCAAATACTTGCAAGTTTCTTATATCTGTCATCATCAATTTCTCGACGCCGGGATGTTGAACCTAAACATATGGTTTAACTATCAGAAACTAACAAGAAGACAGTGAAAATCCTTACGCTTGATCCCCTTGAAAGTGTTCTCACCTTTACCGCAACATCGCTCTTGTCGCCCTTCAATCTTGCTCGGTGAACCTGAATAAACGCAATCGAAAGGAACTGTTTCAGATATATGTATACATTCCTGAAATTTGTTTATCCATCTCCAACATCTTGCCCCAAATAATTCCCAAATACCCATGACTGAATTCATCTCACTATTTATGGAAAACACAAGAAGTGTAGCATCACTCTACACAAGAAAATCTGCATAAAGGTTTTGTCACCTGAGCAATAGATGCAGACCCGATAGGATTCTCGTCGAAGCTTTCAAACGTTTCACCGATGCTTTGACCTAACTCCTTCTCCAGGACAACTTGGATGTCGTGGAATGGAGTAGCAGGAGCTTGATCACACAATGTAACGAGCTTTCTCACCCACGCGGCCGGTGCCAGGTCTGGTTTCCCTACGATTTGTGCAACCTGTTCCCCGAAAAAACTCGTTATCACAAAACCACGACGAATCATCAAAAACCCATGAACATGATTCCACTTCACAATCAAAACCAAGATTCAAAACCAGCAAAAATCGTTATCACAACGTGAGTACTGTCACGTGGATTATCTAAATTGTGATCACTACTCTTCAGCAAACAAATCATGAGTACAATCTAAATCAACACCAACAAGTAAACCCACTTCAATCAAACATTGCAAAATCAAAACTTTTCCTTTCCTTCTTCCTAAACCATACAAATGGCATATCAAACTAGAAACTGGAGAGAGAAGTTCGAAAGGTAGTCATCACGGCCAATCAAAAGAGACGTTTACCTTAAGGAAGAACCCGCCCAGGTCAGAGCACATAGCGTAAATTTTCTCAGCAGCAAACTCATGTTGCCGCTCCCACAAATCCTCCTGCTTCTTCGCATCCTTCACCAAACTTACTCGAAGTTGAAACATCTGAAAATCCAAGCGAAAACAGCCCAAACCCATTTCAAATTTCACGAACGAAATCACAGTAGGACGAGGAAAATCCACGAAAACAGCCGAAAGACTCGACCTTGTAGCCGGTGTAGATATCAGCGGCACGAACCCAGAACTGAACCGAGCGTTGCCACGGCCGGAAGCCCTCGGAGAGCTTCTCCTGGATCCCTTTGAAATCGATGCCATGCATTTTCACCGACGCAGATTTCAACTTCTATGCCTCGAATGCAGGGAATTTCCGGGGTGAATTTGGAGAATTGAAGAGAAATGCGGGCGATACATACATACTACATAGTGTTTCGGGAAGAGGATGATGAATTGCGGTATAAAAAGGCAGAGATTGTGGCTGAGAGAGGAAGGAAACTAAAGAAGGAATGATGGAAGAGAGATTTCGAAGTGGATGATGCTTTGCGTCAAAGGCTTCTGCTTAATTTGCTATATCTTCAAGCCCTACCTTGTTGTTAACATGTGAACTTGTGACCATGTCCACCAATATGATCGAAATATAGTGTGGTCACATATTGATACCATTATTTATAATGTTAAATTTATGATGTTTTAATTAAATAATTAGTAAGATATACAAGGTATGAACATAATAAATTAGTGTGATCACCATAAATTTAACGTTATAATCGATAAAAATCAAAATGTGACCATACTATATTTCGATCACATTGGTCACATGTGACCAGAGTAATCTTGAAGTAAAATAGCAAATTAAGGATATTTTTGATATAATGACTTTTAAGATCCTTTGACTTATTATATTAAATTAGGATATTAATTCTTTAATATTTTTTAATCTATCAAACTATATAGTAATCTGTCAAATCATCAAGACTCGTCACCGTGTGTTACACAAAAGATTTTATTTTTAGCTCTATGTGAATAAGGGTGGAGATTTCGATTTTTTTTGTTTTGGATTCGGGTCAGTACATTTAGATTTGATTCTTTTGGTACGGTAAATTTATATTTAGCCGGATTTTATGTTAATTTGGATTTGATTCAATTTCGATTCCTATTCCATTTATAATGATAAAAAGTGTTATTTCTAAAATTATTTTGGTATTTTTAATTATTTTTTGGTTTAAATTCAGTTCTTAAATTAAAATTTTAAATAATTCGATTTTTATATCAAATTTAATTGGATTATTTTTAATATACATATATTTTTTTTTCATTCAAATTTTCCATTTTAAAAAAGTTATAACGAGTTTAAATCGTATTCAACTCACCTATATATCTATATATGAGCCAAAACGACGAACAAATAACAAATCTTTCAGGAATTCGAACATGGCTTTGATGTTTTTTCACCACCCAAAAAAAATGGACGAGAGATTCTTCTACGGCATGAAAAAAAAAACATGAACCCGAGTTTGCAAGGGGAAAAAATCAGAACGACGAATCAAAGATCGATGACACGAGAGAGCTTCTGGATTCGGTTAAGAAGAACGTCACCTTGCTTGATCGTCGCCTGGTAAAGTGCGTTCTTCGCGTCCGGTCGGTTCGTCTCCAGAACCCCCGCCACCTTGTCGATCTTACAGTGCAGCTTTCCCGCCGCTATGAATCCCGACAGCTCCCTGTATTATGTACATATATATAGTTCCAAGTATAATGCCTGAAAACCAAATTCGTCATTAACAGAATCCGAGGTTTATCCACTTACAGATCGATGAAATCAACTGTAACACCGAACGCCCTTGCCATGGCGTCGATCGTTACGCTCTTATACGATTCCAAGAACTGAGAGTACACCACTGTTCTTACTTCCCTCATGTAAAACCGGAAGTGCGGATTCAGGTAACGGTCGAACTTTATCTGTTCCGCGAGCCCCGCTGTTGATCACGAAAAATCGAGAAATTCAATAAGCTTTTCGCTTTGACGGTCACCGGGCTGAGTAAAGACAATAGTAATTCATGGAAATTGGTACAAGCGAGACGGTGAGTCAACTAACCGAATGCTGAGAAAAACGCTTTGTATTGACAGCCATACAATGAGTTCAGAAACTCCGGGAGGAATGGGATCTTTCCGATCACTGTTAAGATCTCGGGAGCATCAACCACCTGCAAAAATCGGCAGCAAGTTATACCATCTCATTGACAGATTGACATTTTCAGATAATTTTCTGTAAATGTCATTGTTGTAATTCGAAATTTTGGGCATTTGGGCACTGAAAGAAGCATACTTTTTGCTTAAGAGAGACTCTGTCCAGAGATATGATGCTCGTAAGGACGGTGTAAAATATGAAGGTCTCGTAGGTGAAAAGCTCGTAGGTGGTAAAGGTTGAGATAGAGTCCAGAAACAAGCTAGCCGCCTTCTTAAAATTTCTAGTGGACATTGAGTACAATCCCTCGTACACCTTCAACCTGTTTTTCCTTTCCCAGTCACCGCCCTCTTCAAACAAGCTGGCATGCGTCGTAAGATCAAATACTCCATAGTCATGCTTTTTGAAAAAGGGCAAAAAGAAAAGAAATTCCAGCGGCCAAACCCCCACTTACGTCTTTGCTTTGTCAATGCTCTTCGATATAAGATCAAAGTCCATGTAGAAAAAACCAATCTGCAGCGTATAGAATACCAAGTCCATCTTTTGCCCGACAGCCACAGTTTTGCTTTCTGTGACTTTGAGTTGCTCCAAAGCTTTCTCCTGAGTTCCATCAGAGCATAAATTTTAGTGATCAAGAAAGCGTTCTAAAACGTATAATTCTTTACCGTGACACGCTCATGTACCTTGTCACTAATCCTGATGTAGTACAAAGCCTTTGCAAGATGAGCTTCACGAACTTCACTTTCGCCAAGGTTTTCTTCAGCATCAGCAATCCTAAACAAAGGAGAAAGAAACAGCAATATAAGACAAAACGACTTCATAACACAATGTTTATGCAACATTGAGAGATAAGAGCAATCTAACACGGCAAAAACAAAAACAGAATATGGGTTCATTGTGTAAAAAGCACATACCTTTCTCTTCCAAGAAGCCAAATTAGTGTAATTAGCTAACAAAAATGGGAGAAAAATGGAGAATGATGAATCTAAGACTTAGGTCTCAGAATTAAGCAATCGACCAACAGAACATGAAAGTGTGACAGCCTAACAGGCTCCATTTCTAGAAGCACTGGATATTTGAAAACAAATTCTGGATGCAGTATTGCCGCTCGGAATCTATCAGCAGAACAATCAAGCAAAATGAATGAGGATCTGAGGTTCTTTTCGAGGAAACCCCAGGAAAATCTAGCTCGAATTAGGGGGAAATTAAACCTACTTCTCATCAAACTTCTTAAGTTCCTCCTCATTCTTCGCTCGCATGGAATCCAACAAGCCCTGATCTAGATCCAGTACCGAAGAAGCCGCTAGGGTTTCGTACAACGGAGCCATATCTACAAAACCAAAACCCAACAACATCAGGAACAGCGGAACGCTAAAGAACCTCGAGAAATTCGGACAACGTTTAACATCAATTTCATCGATTAGAAGAACCGAGGCACTTTACCGTCGGCTTTGATCGAAGACATGACCTCATCCTTGAGCCGGACCTTCTCGATGTCTTGCACGTCGGAATGAGTAAAGAGGAAGAGCTTGTGCGCGAGAACAAGGTGAGGCTGCTGGGTTCCTTCTCCGCCACCGTCCATGGCTGCAACTCACTGAGTTAGACGATCAAGTCACCGATCTCAGAGATATTGAAGGGAGGAAAACTTTGCTTGAGGAAGGAGGAAGAGACAGACCAAAAGGCTCTGAGATGCGCTGATCTTTTTTTTTTTTAAATTTAAATACGGTTTTGGATCCTAAACCCCAACCAAACCGAACCAATCAAACAGATTCGACCGGTTTGTTCCGGTTTATTCAAACCAATTTGCTCGGGCCTATTTTTTGTTTCTTATAATTTCAATTAATGAAAAAATGAAAATCACATAATTTTTTAGATCCTCCGACGCTCCGAGTGCAAAACCCTAAGCATCTTCCATGGATTCAAACCCTAAAACTTTGATTCGACTTCAATTCTGAGAGCCTTTATCGATTCGCGGCGTCCATGGAGATCTCCAAATCAGCGCCAAAAACCGTTCTGCTTGAGCCATTTGTCAAGTAAACTCTCTTTACCATGAACTCACAGTTTGAATTCGATTGCTGATACTTGCGGTTTGATTCTGCGCATAAATGCTTGAAATTTCTCGTTTTGATTCGCTTCAGTCTTCCGCGCCTTCTTCGTGGATGTGTGGCTAGGAAATACTTGATTTTGTTGTCAGTTATCGATTTGATTTTGTGTTTTTAGGTTGGTGAAGCTTGTTGCTAGGGCATTCTATGATGATTATTCGTCGAAAGGGGATAATCAGCTGAAAGCAGCAAGAAGCGACAACAGAGGAATTGCGGTCGTGGTGCTCGACGCTCTCTCCAGGTTTGACTGCTCGTAGTGATTTTCTTTCTACAGACATTTTCTCCTGGAATTTGATAAAATCCAATTGTTGCAATTAGTTTCTGGGTGGATTCTTTGAGTCTTGATGGATTAGTAGTTTGCTTTGAGCAAGTGCTGATCCTTCACTGCCATATCGGGTTTTTATATCTGTCAAGGTTATGAGGCTGTAGCAAGATGTATAGATGAGCTTATTGAACCTGATTATGCAGATATGTTGATTTTTTCATGATGTTTATCGTGATTGGGGCATGGTTTGTTTGTTTTATGTCTTTTTTTCCCTCCATTTTTCTTGTTTGCCAGGCGACAATGGGTTAGAGAAGAAGACTTGGCGAAGGAATTGAAGTTGCACACCAAACAGCTCCGAAGAATGTTGAAATTCTTTGAAGATGAGAAACTGGTGATGCGGGAAAACAGGAAGGAGGTCAGCGCTCAAACATTTTTGTATTAGAAACGTATCATACTTTCTATGTAGATGATGCGTCTCACTACACCTGCCTGCTGTGCATGGTGGGCCTTGAGTTCTAGGGATTTTTCAGTCTTACTGTAGATATGATCTCATTTATCTGAGAATTTCGCATTGTGTGAAGTCCTAAATGGCGAAAGATTGATAGATTGGAGACTAGAAGATTGTGTAGCCATCCTGATATGCTTGCATGGGGTTGACATTCAAGCATTCTTATCCACAGTTCAACACATGTTCTCATTTGCCTCTCTTATCTGCTTGTCATCATGATCTTCTCTTTTCTTTCCTCTAGACAGGCTTCATCATATGGTTGAAAGATTCTTTGCATGTTCTGAATCCCCAAGCTCTAATTTCCTTGTTCTGATGATTTGTTGTTGCCGGATCATTTTAATAGACTGCAAAGGGTGTAAAGATGTATAGTGCTGCAGTGGCTGCCACGACTGATCTCCAGTCAAGAGGTGGTGAGGAAAAAGTTAAGCTACATACCCACTCATATTGCTGTCTTGATTATGCACAGGTTGGCTTCTTGTCCCTGCTCTGTGTAAACTTATTTTGGGTTTTATTATCAAATCAGCCAAAATATAGATTGTCTCGATGTTTATTTCGTCTCAAAACGTAATGGTCTTGCAGATATATGATGTTGTTCGGTATAGAATACATAGAATGAAGAAAAAGCTCAAAGATGAAATGGAAGACAAGAACTCTGTTCAGGAATATGTGTGTCCTAACTGCAGAAGAAAGTTACGTTCGCTAATCCTTTCGCAATTATAGTATCAGTAATGAGCACTGTTGTGTTTTGTGTTTATTAAACCTGAAGAGTTCCTGATCTCGTGTACTCAGATACAATGCATTGGATGCATTGCAATTAATTTCTATGGAAGACGATTGTTTTCATTGTGAAAATTGCAACGGGGAACTTATTGTGGAGAACGACAAGCTAACGTCCCAGGATGCAGGAGATGGAGATGACAATGCAAGGAAACTTAGGCGTGAAAAGCTAAAGGAGTTGCTTCAGAAGGTGGAGGTCTGTATTTTATAGCTATTTAGTTGTTAGGTGAAAACTTCCTATAATTAATGAATTGTAAATTTGTAATTTTCTATGTTTTACTAAATCTCTATATAATCTGATGATTTATGATTAATGATAGAAGGGAAATTTAATTTCCTGTGTGACAAAGTCTTGGCCAAACCCTCTAAGCTTACATATTAGAAGCTAGTTGTATACGTTACATGTGTTCAGTGGATAATTTCTTGCTTATGACTGTTACTGGTAAGATAATCTTATTGTTGCTTCCTGTAACGCAGTTTGTATCTGTTTTAAAACCGTCAACTGCTGTTTCTGATAAAGAATACTTATTTCAGGCCTTCAACTTGGTTTTTGTATTGTTTGTGAGGAGAATTTGTATCACAATTTTCTCTGGTAGATTTTAGATATTGTGCTTACTCGATTTTTACTGCCATCATGCTGATTCAACTGCTCGTTCCTTGTTTCCTCTCCCTTTTACTTTGACAATGTTTCAGTTTGCCAAAACTATTCTAAGCAGATCATTTAATACCAGTGATTGGTTTTTTTTGTTGATTATGGTCTTTCATTCTTGTGTCGGTATCTCTAGTTTGTGCATTGATGCTGTTGGAGTAAAAAGTGCAGGTTCAGCTGAAGCCTCTGATGGATCAAATAAATAGAGTAAAGGACCTTCAAGTTCCCGAATTTGGAAGTCTTCAAGCATGGGAAGCTCATGCAGCTTTGGCTGCTCGTGGCCTAAATGGTGATGCTAACTCAAATGATCCTTCTAGATCTTCTCAGGGTGGATATGGTTCAACACCAATGCCTTTTCTTGGAGAGACAAAGGTAATATTAGCTGGTGCACTCCTCCATGTGCATGAATTTTGAGTCCTAAAATGAATTGCCTCGTTACTTTTAGTTATTGATGACACCATAGCTTTGCTACAATTCTCCAAATGATGGGGTCCATTGATTCTAAATTTAAGTTGGTATTCTGAAGTTTTTGGCCAATTCTTCATCTAGATATGCAAATTTTAGTGTTCGGTAGAGTGAAAATAATTGTGGGTCTGGTTTGGAGATACTCTTTTTCTTTCCAGATCACAACTCAGAAAAACAGTCTTTTCAGTTTCTGTGCATGTTCTTTCTTCATAGTCACTGTGGTTGGTCGATTGAAAATAAAAATTTTAAATGGACAGGTGGAAGTTAACCTTGGTGAAGGAAAGGAAGAAAATGTCAAATCCGAGGGTGGAGGTTCTAGTCTTAAGGTTTTGCCCCCGTGGATGATTAAGCAAGGAATGAGTCTTACAAAGGAGCAAAGAGGAGAGTTTGAACAAGAATCAAAGGCCGATGGTAGTAGCTCAGCAATGGGAAAACTTTCTGATGACAAGAAGTCAGCCATGGAGAACGACAATGAAACGAATTTGCAGGCATGTTCCGGAAGATAAACTGTTCTATTCTCTCTATGTTTTCCCATGTAGAGTCTATGCAACCCTCTGAATCATGTTTCTAAATCTTGGTGCTGTATTGCTTTTGCATTTTGGTGCAGGATGAGTATGTCAAAGCATATTATGCTGCTCTACTAAAGAAGCAGCAAGAACTGTCTGAAGCTACAACGAAGACAGAGCCAGTGGATGCAGTTGCCGCTGATGTTCTGCTGGCTACATCTTCAGGTCGTCAGGTGGGTATGAAATCAAAACGCGAAGATGAAGAGGATGAAGATGTGGAATGGGAAGGAGGAGAGACTACTGTTATATGTGAGTATACAAATTATCCGATCTTTATTCACGTTGTAGTTTGATCATAGCGACCTGATAAGATTAGCCATCAAGGATGTGATAATGCATTAGTTCAAAGGCATCTGAGTTTGGTCCTGAGCTCTTGTAGCCAGGGTCAGGGAAAAAGAGTCTTAAAACCAAAAATCTTGGATTGTCTGAAAGTTCGGGTTTGACCCAGATTCTGAAAAAGATCAAAGCATGATAGGGAATGTAAACGTGTTAGATGTGCTTGTAGTTGTATTTTGTAATTGTATTAGTTAACAAAAGTATCGGGTGAAGATGTGACCTCATTTGGTCAAATATGCGTGACTCGGTCCTTCAATATCTAGTTTATTCCGAGGTTTTATTGCAGTCAGAGGGGGGGGGTCTCTTCTAACATGTGAACATGTGCATTTGAACAGCAAACTCGAATAACGAAAATTACAAGGTGGGAGACTTGAATGTCGAAGCTGAGGCTTCAGCGGATGAAGACGAAGACGTCGACTGGGAAGAAGGCTGAAACTTGTAAGTGTGTTTTTCCGGACTCTTATGAACTCGAATTCTAGAAAACTTGAGTAGAGAATTGAACTATCTGTCAGACACTGATTCCTCACGGATCCTAAACCAAGGATGGAAATGGTAGGTAAAAAAAAATTGCAGTACTAGAGATTCAAACAGTTTGTATTGTATTGGGTGGAAGTCGTTCATACTTTTTATTTTTTGGTCAAAAGGCATTCTGTATCTTGCAAATTACAAGCCACTTCAATACACAACCCATTCATTTTCACATCATTTATATATATTGCCATTGTTCAACTTCCAATTAATTGCCTCTATATTAAACATAAACCTGAATCCTGATTCAATATAATAAAGTTTTTTTTCTTATCCTCAGTGCATTGGACCACAGAGACAAGCTTTTACAGATGCTTTTATGGTCTTTGGTTTGGGATAGAGGATTAGTCTTTCATGGAAACTCTGCACATATATCATTTGCATGAATGACCCAACCTCATGAAGGTTTCATTTTGTTGTTCCTCCAAATTTATTAGCATATCATGTTTACATATTTTGGATCAAGTGAAGTTTTATAATCACCCAATTTCATGAAGGGTTCGTTGTGTTCTTGTTCCGAATTTTGTGTTAAGTTAAACAGGGATTTATGGAGGTAAATTTAGGGAATTTAGATTATTGGTTTTAATTGAGTTGAAGAATTGAAGTTTGCGAAATTGCAAAGTTGAAAATTTGAATTTATATAATGATGATAGGGTCAAAAACGATTTTGAGTTTGAGAAATTTTCAATAATGGTTTTATTTAATTGAACTTAATTAATTTTCTCTAATTCTACGCCCATCAAAACTAATATCTCCTTGATACCGATGTTTATGTTTATTGATGGAAGTCAGAATTATATATCGGTTCAGTCAAAATATGAATTTGGAGTATTTCTGTTTGAAATTTCTAAACATATTTACACCTCAACGGACGGAACCAAAAACAAAAGAAGTTGGGGTAGATAAAAAAAAAAAACCTTAAACAAGATAAAAGTAAATTGTTTAAAAAATAGTAACTTTGTATGTTTTCTTATTTTGTTGTCAATATTTTAATATTTTGAATTGTACTACTTGTATTTTGAAATAGTTAACACAGTTTATGTTTTGTTTTTGTTAATTTTAATGATTGAAACTAGCTGTGCTAATTTTGGTATCAAATATAAAATATGCAAAGTTTAGATATTATGAAAAATAGTTACCAAATATTTTCAAGTGAGAAGTATTCATATATTTTTCTCACTTTTTTTTTATAAACTACGCATATTTAATATGCTAGTCAATCATTGTGTACAAAAAAAACAGGGAGGAGATACAGTTTTGTGAAGTGTGTTGATGGATATGACAATGAAAACATGCACCAATTGCAAACGCAGAGAATTAATATTAAGATTTTATATATGACTTATATGGTTGGCTACTATTAAACCACGTGTCCAAAATGTCCGACCAGGTTTGACTAAAACATTACATGTTCTAATCCATGACTGTACACGAAGAAGGAAAATAAAATAGCATTTTATAATCAGCCGTGTCTAAATTTGTTTTTAATAAACCTTAGGACACATTTCTTTGAATTTCGATTTTATAATTTTATATTCCATTTTGAAATTTCTACCGCCTTTCCCCCCCCCCCCCTCAAAATTAGCTTGTCACGCAACTTTGAAAACTTATGTATATTGAAATTTCGTCTGTCAACAACATATATACACATTTATATGATTGCATATCTCAACGCAAATTATGTCAATTTGATTACTCCATTTTTTTCATATATCTTTGTGCAATGATAAGCATTGTTATACTTTGTTGCTTTCAAAAGAAATGGTTCATTGGGTTTAATCAAATATGCAAAACAATGATAATATAGATTAGGTGACGCAACTTTGAAAACTTTTGTATATTGAAATTTCGTCTGTCAACAACATATATACACATTTATATGATTGCATATCTCAACGCAAATTATGTCAATTTGATTACTCCATTTTTTTCATATATCTTTGTGCAATGATAAGCATTGTTATACTTTGTTGCTTTCAAAAGAAATGGTTCATTGGGTTTAATCAAATATGCAAAACAATGATAATATAGATTAGGTGGTTCATTAATGTAGGTTTCTATCTACTATACACACGTCACAATTCTTTTGTGAATGATCCTTAGCATAATCTCATTTCTTTGTTTTCTTCAATATCCACCACAAAAATATTGGTAGTTATTGCTCTCACATGAATGTCTTGTCTTCCTCCGTTCAAACTCTCCCAAAAAAAAAAAATAATAGAAATGAAGAATTTGACCATTGAAATTTGATTACATCTTTCTCGTTTTTCGTTGTGCAACAACTGTTTGATTAATGTCGTGTGTGGGGACATAAAATCTTATGGAGCTTATTGGACAATGTCAGACTATTTTGTGTGATTGCATTAGAGATAATCGAATCTCGTTTAAAAAAATTTGATTGGATAGTATATATTTTCCTATATCGATCAAATTAAACAAATATGATATAAATATAACACAATCATAGAAAATAATTTTAAACAAATAAAAAATATATTTGTAGTGATTATCATTCCAATTACATTATTATTATTATCTAAAATCTCTCTTTCGTTTTTATTCGGGGAGTTTCATTCTCACACTCATATAACAACATATCATTCAAATAATTTATTTTATACGGAAGAAACCCTTAGGTGAGTTGACAAGGAGCATAGTCAACATACTGAGAGGTTAGGGGTTCAACTCCTTACCCGCTCACCTATCGCCTGTCAGATACGGTTGATTTACCTCCCACGCGTGTGTTGCAGGCTCGTGCGTATGAACTTGAGTTTACTCGGTCAACGCACCCGAAAGGTAACAGTCGGAGTTCCCAATGTATAAAAAAAAATTATTTTATATTCCGTGCATAATGTGATGCAAATTTTGGTCAGTACAAAAAGATAAGACGATCATTCGGCATTACACTAATTAATTCACGGAATTTCGCATTAGAATTCATCCCATATAATGATTAAAACCATGATAACAAAATATCATTATGCGTTTATGTAGTTTAAAAAGTGAATGAAATATACAAACCTATGTAGTTAAGATTGTACGGTCTGCTTATATAATATATATATATATCCACATATCTAAAAAACATTGTTGATGATACTAATAAAAAACGAAAAAACGATAAATCATATATATTTGGTTTTAATAGGGATAATAGAAAATTTACACATACATATTTACATGTGTTTATAAAATAAAATTGTTGGGAATATACTAGCAAATTTAACAAATACATATTTACATTGTGTTTATATAATAGAATTGTTGGGAATACTAACAATATTAACACATACGTATACATGTATATATAGATATATATAGGCAAGAAAACTGTATTTTCAATTCGTATTCTTTGGAAAGACAAACAGAAAAGGTTCAAATCAAAGTTTGACAATAACAAAAAAAAGAAGGGGAAAAAAATAGGGTCTAGAAGAAGTGGTGTTGGCAAAAGTATCAACGTCGTGTCGAAAGCTGAATGGACGATTCGCTTTGGACTCGTCTCTTATACATATACACACATATACATATACATATACATATATATACGTACATATACACGCGCTGTCTGTGTTGGAGAAAGTGTGTTCCAAATCTCATGCTTACTATGTTGCTTTTTATGGTTAGTTTCTAAATTATTAATTATTTTAGAAAAATAATAAGCATATTTAAATTTTTGGGTGCATGTTTTTCATCTGCGAAAACTGCTGCATGGGTTTAGCAGCGTAACCAACGTTGAGAAATCGTCGTGTCACCAAAAAAGGGTTCATAGCGATATTTTACGATTCGATGGGTTTGCATTGAAAAAGCGTCAATAATTATTATTATTATTATTATTATTATTATTATAATATATATATATATATATAGGGTTTGATGTTACGAATACTATATTTGTGCAGACAGATATGCACGTCGAGAACCTTTTATAAGCATCGGATTAATTAAATTTAGCTTTAATTAAAAAACTAGTTACATGAGGTTTACTGGATATACATACATTGTCCAATAATTTCTGCAAATGGATATTTGTTCATGAAATACACATGCATTCTTTTGCTTATATATTATATATATGTACATATATATATATATACGAGTAGTATTTATGTTACGTTTGCGCGGCCGATGCCACTTGTCATCTCACATATCCTTCATAAGATTTTCAAATTTTCGTTGGATAGGGAATATGTTTTTATTACATAGAATGTACGTACATTTCAGATAATAATGGTACGTATTATATAACATCTAACAAAACAATCCAAACATATATACGATTAAAATCGCTCGTGCATGGTTTCCGTGATTCGAAAATCAGAATGTTTTTAATAAAAATAAAAAGTAACAAAAACGATAATAGCTGGTTTGATTATATATATTCAACCAATTAAAAAAAAAAACCCTAAATATATACAAACCCACACACGAAAACACTTGATTTATCCAAACCGTAAACCATCGTAATTAAACATACTCGAGAATTTCCAAACCCCACAGACCGAGAGGTGACGATCAAAGAATTTTTACAAAATACGGAAAACAAATATGCAAAACCTAAAAGCTAATAATAAACCCAAGAAAACAAAGATGACAAAAAAAAAAACATATATATACAATTCTGTAAGTAATGATCAAAGCTTCAAGCTTGCATGCCGACCTCCATATAGTCATGTGACGGCGACAATCTCACTCACCGTCCGAGGCATAACGCCGCGTCAACGTCGAGACGCCACGCGAAACCGCCGTCGCTCATCCTCCAAACGTCACAAGGCAAAGTGATCATTGAACTCTTCTCCTTGTTGCGACACGTGTACTCCAAACGCACTCTGCACGTAAACGCCGGTTGCGTTAGCAGCATCGGCCTCTCCTTCATCACCAACCACACCGTTATCTTGGCGTTTGCGCTACGGTTCCCCACAACTAAATCCCTGTACGGACCGTTCGTCCACGTAACTCTCCCCATAACATCCGATATGAAACTAGGACACGTGTCCTTCTCTAGATTCATCTTCATCTCCTCGTCCGTACACCCTAGCTCAAAGTACTGTCCCTCCACCCACGTGTCCGTTATACACTCCACCGTCACGCACGACGTTACGGTTTCCGTCAGATCTGACGGCATCAACATCTTCGTCGCCGTTTGAAACTGTCCGTCAGATCTGCCACCGTCGCTGAAGCTCAGCCAAAACGGTTTCGCACTCCGCTGAGAATTGAGAACACTAGCCGTCACCGGCGGGGGGGGGGGTGCCTGCAAGTCCTTCCTCTCCGGAGTCTCCGGCAGAAGCGGTAGCGTCACCACCTCTGCCATCACTCCTCCGCCGTCTTTCGGCTCCTCTCTTCTCCTTTTGTTGCACCGTTTGCCGTTACCGTTCCTGTTGCTACTCATAGATCCGCTACTGTTACTGCTCTCCTTTGCAATTTTCCTCCTTCCCCGACCAGATTTAGAAGAAACGCTCGATGATAATCCGCTTTTCTCCGGCGGAGAAGACGATCCTCCGATCACTGGCCTCGGGGCGATCGGCCGGAACCGGAGCATGATCCGATCCGCCTTGGACATATCGTACGTTCCTCCTCCTCCACCGCACCTCGCTATGCAACAACCGCCCCGAAAATTCATCTCTCACTTCTCTCTCTCTTAAAAAAGCTCTGAAACGGAAACAGAGACTTTTCCTCTCTCTAGACCGAGAACTAACGTCGCCGTGAGATGCGAAACGTGGGAGAGAGGAAGGTGTAGGTTATAAAGAACTGTTGCCTCGACACGTGTGAAAATCTGCCACGTGCGAGAACAGCACGGTGACGCGATTGGTCAAGCGGAGGGCACGTGGCTTTTTCACCGAGATGGAGTGGGACCCTGGACCTGGGCCAAAATGCTGACGCGAGAATCCAGAGCGTGCGGCCCAATCGCGAAAGGGGAGATTGTAAGATTCTTGCGGTGCGTTAAGATGGTGACACGTGGAATCGGGTGTACGGTTACGTGTACAATATGGCGGGGCTGTGCTTGGGGATGGGACTTAGTGAGGGACACGTGGACCAATTGAAAAGGATCTATGTAAAGAATGGATTCTATTATTAGGGGATTTGGAATGGGGGAGATAACGCCACGTGGAAGGGAAGGTGGCGACACGAATCTCGCTTGGATTTGGTTTCACTGAAACTCGAAAGACGAAGCATTAATTTCAAAAGAGAAAAAACGGGATGCATTGAAAGGTGACACTTTCTTTTGGCTAACATCTTTTAAAATTTAATTAATAAATATTATTCGTTCCAAATTTAAAATTAAAACCTAAAAACAATTATATAAAAACGAGGCAGAATAGTTAGATTTCATCGCATACTCAATTTTATATTATTTTTCGTGTTTGTTTTTATTAATAAACATACTTATTTTTAAAAATAATTTGGTTATTCATTTATTTTATATTCACTTCAAATTCGATTTCTTCGATCTAAAATAATATGATCATTTAATTTAATATCAAATTTAACTTAAATAGCGTTATGAATTATTCAGATCATTTCAATTATATATACTATTTTAATATAAGTTCAAATATAAATTTACTACTTTTTAGGCCTTGGTTGAATTTTTGAAAGATCGTAGACCTATAAATAATTAATTCAATACTGTGTTGATGAGAATTTGTTCTACAAGTGTTCATGAGATTAATGAAATTAAGTAGCACATCAAACTAATTAGTTTATAAGAATTTCTCAAAATAAAAATATTGTACGTAGCTTGATGAATTATTAAATATAGCATCGTTTATATATATATATATATATATA